TAGATAAATAAAAAGAAGTGATGTTCATAATAACCATCAATTACAATGCTTATTGTTATAAAAACGTTAATTAATACAGGATGGAAAATGTTATTGTTTCATTTTTGTTCAAATAAATAGGTTTAAAGTTTTATTTTTGTCTTTGACTGATAGATATCTAACGGTCCTTTTAAAGGTTCAGTGTGTAGAATTTAGTGACATCTAGTGGTGGAATTGCATGTTGCAGCTGAATGCCCCTCACCTCCACCTCCCTCTTCAAACATGAGAGAGAACCTGTGGTAGCCTTCAGTTCTCATAAAAACTCAAAAGGTGTTCAGTTTGTCCAGTTTGGACTAATGTAAAAAAAGAAACATGGTTGCCTCCATAGAGAGGACCCGCTCCTGATGTAAATATAAAGGGCCCATTCTAGGGCAAAGAAAACAAAGACTGATTAGATGAAACACACGAGTGAAAACATCACTAGGATTAGTTTATATTCAATTTCTGCCAATAGATCCATTTCACATAAATCGCACACTCTGAACCTGTAACAGCAAAGTGTATGAGTCTTTTTTAGAAGATGCTCCCCTGGCTGTCCAGTATGTGGTGGAGAGGGTGGTTGGGATGATCCATGTTAAAGAACTGTGTGTTTAGTGTCCTCCTCTCCAACACAGCTTCAAATGTGTGCCTGCTTACAGCAAATTACAGAGCCAGTCTTCTTCATCAGTTCATTTACCGTTTGTGTCGCTGGCTCCGATGCTGCTCCATCAGCAGACCAGTGGAGACCAGTGCACTGGCTACAACACACTGCATGTCAGACCTTCTGCTGCACACGTTAACAGGTCTTCCTACAAATCGTGCATGTATTTTCTGCCCATGTGACATCGTCATTATTTTTTTCTCCTCAGGGGAGTCATCTGACCCCAGGAGTGGTCTATGTGGGCCACCTGCCGCTGAGCCTGTTTGAGCCTCAGCTCAAATCTTACTTTGAACAGTTTGGGAAGGTGTCGAGGCTGCGGCTGTCCAGGAGCAAGAAGGTAACTTTGAGGATGTGATAACCAAAGCACACAATATTCTACATTTTATCTGGCAGAGCAAAGCCTAATTCAGTGTGGTTCAGCTACACAATGTTGACACAGAATAAAACGTCCTTATGGGATGTTAAGGTTCCACTGAAGATGTGGGAGTAGAATTAATAAGATATTTTTTCCCTGGTTTTCCTGACTTGGCTGTATGAGTTGTCCTCAGTCCAGCTGGACATGGTAGCAGTGATCTTGCTAATTCTTTACTCCACAGTCGTCAGAGGTTTGGCTCAGACTGAAAATGGCCTCAGGTGAGACAGTGATCTGAGGTCAGATAACTGAGCCCAGAGTATTTTGGTATATAAACCTTATCACCTGCTTGCTTATTTGCATGGTGATCAAACAAATGTCCCAACAGAAGCATTGTTATTGATCAAAGCATGAAACAATTCAGACATGTGCTATTCACATGTTTGCTGACTAACCTTGTCTCACATCTTTTACCTGCAGACAGGTGGAAGCAAAGGCTATGCGTTTGTAGAGTACGACTGTGATGAAGTAGCAAAAATTGTTGCAGAGACCATGAACAACTACCTCATGGGAGAGAGACTCATCCAATGTAAGTATTGTTCATGTACATGTTTATTATTGGTAAGCAGAGAAGAACAGTCACATAGGAACCATTTCGATGACAGGGATTAAATTTTAAATGTATTAACTTGTGGCTTCTTACTGGTTCCCAGGTCATGTGCTTCCACCAGAGAAAGTGCACGAGAAGCTGTTTGTTGGCTCTCAAAGGATATTTAAAAAGCCCTCCAAATCTGCTGTGAAACGCTACAACCAGAACCGCACGGCTGAGCAGGTCGAGAAGATGAAAGACAAACTCCTGCGCAAAGAAACAAAGCTCCGCAAGAGGCTCGCAGCACACGGCATCGAGTATGACTTCCCAGGATTCGTAAGTAGAATGTTAACTTTGAATGGCAGCTTGCTGCTTTGTATTTATCTGGAATAAATCCCAAACCTTAAATACTAACATTTAATTATATTTATGTATTATATGTATTAATTGGTAACATTTGATCAGTACATATTGGCTTAGAACTTTGACCTGAGGAGATTAAGAGAAAAAATGTCACCTGAACCATGAGATAAATCAGAACACAGGGTTTATTCTGTACAAACTACCAGAGGTGCTCTACTAGGATTCATGCTATTTGTTTGCATCAAGTTAATCTTTGTTCTTCTTTTTGCATTTCCAGGCCTCCCAGGTGCCTCAGAAGAAAAAGTCCTCCGACTCCATGAACGCATCTACGTGTAGTGTAAGAACAATATTGATGGTATTATATTTGGCTGTGGCACAGACTGAAAATGACCTCATGCATATCAGTTGTCTGTGGTCAGATAACTGTGCCCATACTAGCGTGGTTCGTAAAAACCTATTGCGTGTGTCTCATGATGACGGCGTGATAAATCCATGGACCTACATTCCAGTGAAAACCTGAAACCAGACAAATCATGTCTGCACCAAAATGATCATGTGTGACTAATAAGCTTCATTTATTCACTCCAGGACACCACACCACTCTGCACCCCCTCACTCCTGGAGAGGAGGAAGTCCATGGTCATCGATGACGATGTGGATGACGAGATCGTCATTAAGATTCCAGCTGCAGACAAAGATGAAGAGAGCTCCTCAGAGGACGAGGAGGAGGAGAAGGAGGAAGATAAAGATGGTGATGAAGAAAATGACTCAGAGAGTGAGGAACCCTCTGAAGAGTTCGCAGAGGAGAAGTGAAAGTCCCCCCTGTTTTATTGTGGACTTGAGCAGTGAGCTGAGATGGCGCACATCGAAGATCATTTTCTTTGAGAGTGACGGGGCACTTTGAACTGTGTTCACAAATCGCAGTGTCTTTCTGTATGTGGAAATCACATTACAGTTTAGAAAGAATCTCTTATGAAAGAGTCCACTGTAATTGTGAGTAGATTGTGAGCATCATTTAAGCTGTTCACAAAATCATCATGAGCCCACTTTATGGGAAACGGCTGTAAATGGACTGGTTGTATAAAGGCTGTTTTCTGTGTCAATCTTAGAGCTAGACTGTTTGAACTTTGTTTTGCTTTATAAACACGTGTACACAAATTCTATGGTCTTTAATAATAAATAATGTTAAAGAATAGGTATCTTAAGTGCTGGATATGTCTGTTTATGTGATTGAAGAGGAAATGCTCGAACACACTGGCAGCAAAATGGAGCGTTTTTGAATAGCACAGGTCTAATTAGTAAAATGAGTGATGGCTGAATTCCATTTGGCTGCTTCTGTTCTTGGGTCCTGCTGGCTCTCTGTTACACTGTCACGGCTGATAGGGACAAATGAATAGAATAGGACATTTTAATTAATATTCTTGGTGACGTCTGTGCTTTAGCTGGTGTGACAGGTTAAACTGCCTGCTTTGAAAAAAAAAAACTCTTCTATAAACTAAACAATGGCACAAGGAGTGACTGCAGTGGTAATGAAATTTAGTATTTTCTTCACAACCACCTGAAAGATATTGCATTTTTACCCCCTTTTAAAATATATAATGAATCCTTCATTTTTACTGATCATAGTACAATGGGCAATTCATAAACACAAATCATATTTAAACCTTTAGCCAATTTTACAAGGTACAGACAAAGTGACATTGATAATGTAAGAGGAGATGTAAAGAGATAAAGACAGGTCAGTGAACCTAATACTCTGTCAGAAATGATCATGCAAAACAAAGACATATCATCTGTAATGTCACTTCAAAGATTAAAGACCTTACTGCTTTCCATGTGTACAGACTCTTCCATGTGGGGTGAGAAATTCAGTATTTTATTACCTCCAGAACAACTGTGTACTATCTCACCATGTTCAAAGATCTTGGTTCTTTCTTGGTGCATACCTCACCCATCCACCAAGTTTCATCAAAATTAACTTTTTGTGTAATCCTGCTAATACAAACAGCAATGGAAACAACCATGGGGAGGGGGGTGGGGGGGGTAAAAAGATGACTCATGATTGAAGATATGTTTTTTAAATGGTTCCTGAAAAAAATAAAATCACATTGAACAATCTTTGTGTAGATTCTGTAATGGGGAGTTGAACTTTTTATTCCATTGTCCATATCCTGCAAGTTTGTGGATCAATATTCAAGAGGAAACCTGAAAACTGCTTCCAGATAATAGATGCTGCTTATGTTTAACTTTTAAATTTAGATACGTGGCAAAGCCAATATGTTTTAGAAATATCAATCAAGTGTTACTTATCACAAAATAAAATGGAATTGGTGGGGGGTTTATATGAAAGTAAATATGCTCTGGCTGTCAGGTTTTTTAACGTCAGTTGAATACTATTGACTAATAAAGGAAAAGGTTCACTCTGATTTCCCTTTTATGCCCAAATGTCTTGTGAATTGTGTTTTACTCTGTGCCATGTGAATTATTCTCCAGTAATTCAAAAAGAAGAGAAATGAAAATGGAGGGGACCATCATCCTCACACCTTGGCCCGTGCTTGTAGGTCTGGTTTCCATCTTTGATTTGATTAAAATGACAAAAGCTGGAACACAGGATGTAAACAGTGTCATCAAGTCATCTCCCTGTGACGTTACACACGTGCATCCAAACACTGAGCTGGTCTGGAGTCTGATCTGAGTCCGTGCTGCAGCAGCAGCAGCAGCGAGCAGAGATGATTGTACACTGACTCCATGCATCCAGCAGACGTCGCTACACGTCGAGTTACACGTAATACACAGTTGTTTTTTTTTGCGTTGCCATTCGCCAGTTTTCCAAGTGCCAACATCATCCCCGGATCCACTGCGCATGCGCCCCACGATCCATTCTTGTCCCGCAGGCAGCATTCCGGGTGGAGAGAGTGAGAGAAAGACACCGGAGCTTTGAGGCCGCACACGTTTACATTTACAGCCGCAAACAGGAGCTGTGTGTCCGGAGCAGCGGCCTCGGTCCAGCAGGATATGGTGAGTGGAACCATGAGGGATGAAGCGTCTCCTCCTGGTCCCTGTCTGTCTTTGTGCTGTCTGTCTGTCTGTCTGTCTGTCTGTGGACTGACGGGCTCATTGAAAGGAAGGGCTGCGCTCGGGGTTAGCTTTAGCTTTTATTCCCCACACACACACACCTACTTTGTGTCCGGGCACAGCAGAGCAAGGTTAGTCTGTCCGTCTCCTGGAGAGAGACACCAATAAAAAAAAAAAAAGAGGTGTTTAATGGCCATGGAGGAGAAATTCAGGTGGAGCCATTGTCTCACATAAGCAGTGTCAGGGGGCTGGTGAGGAGCTCCTGCGTCTGGCTCTGCTAGCTGTGATGGTCAGGCTGGGAGCTAGCTGAGCTAACGCTGCACAAAAGCAAAGGTGTGTGTGTGTGTGTGTCACTGTATGTTACTGTGTGTGTGTGTGTTTGTGTGTGTGAGATGAGGCTGAGTGTCCTGTCAAAGCTCTGCTGAATACAGGATGGTAAAAACACACTGTATTTAATGAGGGCTTGTCTTTTATTTTTGCTATATCATGAACTGTTGTTTACACACCTGAGTTACTTCAATGAACTCATTTGAGCTTAAAGAGGCTCAATGCAATGCATATTTCATTTTATCGTTTAAATAGATCACACACACACATGCTCACACTTACAATCGATGTGTGATGCTTACACACATGCCTAAGCACCAGAGCTGCAAAATGAACTTGAGTCGTAAATATTTTTTTTCTCATGCGTAGCATACAGATCTGTATTGTATCTGTTAAATAATTAACCTCTATATCAGTCTACTTGGTATTTCAGTGGTTCATTCGTGAAAACTGGCCTCACTTATAGTTGGGACATGATTGCGTTTGTAAAGAGAAAGTGTAGAGAGGTCACAGTTTGTTAAATCTGGTCCATGTCTTGCCCTGTGAAGACATGCAGGTTTGATTTTTCAGAACAAAGGATGGAGGTTGTTTAAGCATTCCTTTCTATAAGAGAATCTTGTACACAGAAAAGATGGGGCTTATTTGAAGGGAAGGAGCCCTACCAGCATATGTTGGAGCAGACTGGAACTGGAGCTAATAAACAAACAGTGACGCACTCAAGTCGTTTTCATTTTGAATTGATCCTGTGGCTCAACCCCTCAGCCCCTTTGTTTCCATGACAGTGGTGGGATGTCAAGCTGAGTATTTGGAGTTGTCGGACAGGGTTGGATGAGGGGGCAGTTATTAACTGTCATGTCGTCTCTCTCTCTCTTTTATAAAATCACTCACCGCTGATCTGTTGCTGTGAAACACTAACCTAAGCACTTAGGGAGTTCTGGCCATTTACTTATGCTATGGTCACGACACCCAAACCTTACACCCATATGTGGTTGCTGCTCATCCAGTTTCCAAACCATGGAGATTGATCTGCAGCTATAGCAACCTCCTCTCAGGCTTCCCCCCAGATTTTGGAACCTGGCTACAGGGATTTGTTCCCATTCAGCTGCGAGAGCATTAGTGAGGTTTACAATGAATGTTGAGCAACAAGGCTGGTTCACAGTCAGCTTTCTGGTTTCATCACAAAGGTGTTGGATGGGCTTGAAGTCATGGGCTCTGTCTGTGCCGGCCAGTGGAGTTCTTTCACACCAGACCTGACTTTTGAGGGCATCGCCATTTGGAATCAGGCAACTGTTGCCACAAAATGACTCACTATTGTCTGCAGCAAAAACATTCAGTTGATTTATCCATTTGTTGATAGACACATGAATAACCTTACTTTTGAGTTAAAGGTTCAGTGTGTAGAATTTAGTGACATCTAGTGGTGAAGTTGCATGTTGCAACTGAATACCCCTCACCTTGCCCTGCCTTTCCAAACATGAAGGAGAACCTGTGGCAGCCTTCAGTTGTCCTAAAAACTCAAAAGGTGTTTAGTTTGTCCAGTTTGGACTACTATAAGAAACATGGTGGCCTCCGTAGAGAGGACCCGCTCCAGATGTAAATATAAAGTATTTAAACTTAAAGGACCCACTCTGGGGTTTAGATAATTACACACTAGTGAAAACATCACTAGGATCAATTTCTGCCAATAGATCTCTTAAGCCTAGTTTATGCTTCTGCGTCGCGTCAACGCCGTACCTACGCCGTCGACGCGAACCCCTACGCCGTAGCCTGACGCGCACCTCCAAAAAATCCTAACTATGCGTCGCGTTGACGCGGACCGCAAGCGCTGTGATTGGTCCGCTCAGAACGTGAGTTCCGCCAGTTGCTTTTTCCGGTCTTTCTTCCTCGTCGTACAAACCACCTCTGCAAACGTCTTCTCTGTCGTCTGCGCTTCAACATTTGCAATATAAGCATTTGTTCTTCAATATTGATGAGCTCCAACTCCAAATACAGCTGCTCCACCTCGGTCGCCATTGTTTACTGTTGTTTACTTTACGGAAGAAAAAGCGAGGATTCGGCTATAACCACACGAACACACAGCCACACCCCCCTAGCGGCATGGCGGTGAATTGCAGAGCAATGCGTTCCCTCGACGCAGAACTTCGAATGCTCAACGCCGTACCTACGCCGGCGACCTGACGCAGAAGCATAAACTAGGCTTAACACCTAGAACTTGAACACGCTGAACCTTTAAGTTATTGATATACCATTTAAGCCATTTTCAAGCAAAATTCCAAACATGATCTGATACCAGTTTTCCAAATGAATGACCTATTGCTCTGATTTATGTCGTAGTCAATAAAATATCTGTGTTTTGAAATTTTGATTGGACTAAACCAGCTATTTGATGACACTGGTTAAACTGTCTTTTATTGTTTAAATAAAATAAATAAATAATCTGCAGATTAAACCATGATGAAAATAGTTAGGTGAAGCCTGATTTTTGGTTTAACAGGTTAACTCTACCAGATATCTGCTCTCCCTCTACTTTGAAATAAAAGTAGTGATTTTAAGCATATTTCTATGTACTGTAAGCCTGATCACTAATGAGGTCTCTGACTCCTAGATCTGAATTAGTGATAGTAGATTGACTCTGTCTTATTGTCTTCTTTCCTTTCTGCTCCTCTAGGGCTCTCCAGGCAGGATACCACGGCAAGACATGGATCTCTGAGCTAGTCCGCTTCATCCATCTCCATTTGCTGCCTTGCTTTCTGCTTGCCTAAACCACCTCCTCTGCCCCTGCTAAAGCGGTTTGGCTCAGACTCCTTTCAGAAAAGAAGAGGGGGAAAAAAAGGGGAGGGCGTAGAAAACTTTCCCCAGCTGCCGTGCAGACACACACATGCTGCATTACTGCCATTCCCCAAGCCCTGCTCCATCCATCCCTAGGGCACGGCCACTAGCCTGCTAGCGAGCTAGCACTTGGCACAAAAGGAAGGCCTGTCCTCGGGTATAAAAAAATACAAACAGACTGTGTACACTTGCCCCTTTCTTTTTTTCTCCCTTTGCCAGTCAGCCAGGCACATTCTCACCAACTGGGGCTCCTTTAGTTTAGCTGTCATTCCCGCTGCTTTGAGCAGTGGAGGATTGTTAGTCAACAGCCAGTCAGTCATTCAGTCAATCAGCGAGGCGGACTGAGGAAGCCGCAGGGGGTTATTTTATCAGAGGCCAGGATGACGGAACCCAGCATGGAGAACTGCCTGGCTCAGGTCCTGCAGAAGGATGTGGGCAGACGGCTGCAGGTAGGCCAAGAGATCATAGATTACATTTTGGACAAGGAGAAATCTCATGACCTGGAGCAGGATCAGACAGCGCTGGACAAGATGGTCGATGGTATCGCCAGCTCCTGGGTCAACTCCAGCAACTTTAAGGTAAGCTCCATTAACAAGACAGTGACCACATCCGCACTCGCACATTTATTTTATTGTAAACAAATGCACTGCACCTATGCATCTCTCTGCCTTTTTATCTATATTTAAGTAATTTTCCACCCACTGAAATGTTCTGTATATTTTGGTCTAATTCTTTCATTAATGTAAACAGTAGTGCTTTGTTTTTCCTTCCATTTGTCATGGCTAATTCAACTGTGATTTATATTCACCTTAGAGATTAACCCTTCAGAATAACTTGATTGTTAAGATGTCTGATTTGAAAAGCTCATTAGGTGAGGTCTGTTTTCACTTGTCCAAATTGGGATGAACATTGACAGTTTGTCTTTGCACATCAAGTTGATATACTAGTGGCTTTTAAGTAAAATCAAGCACTTGGACAGCTACGGCACAAGTTTTCACACAGTTTTGTGTTTAAACAGCACTTCCGTCTCATTGTGCAGCCATATAATGGCCTCTCTTTGGATGGTTTAGGTGGAATTTCCATTTTTTCTGTTTGCTGTGAGTAAAGAAGAATTCTCTCAGACAGGCAGAGGCACATAACATCATTGTTTGGCTTCAGTGTGGCTCACATTCTTCTCTTCTGATTGTGCTTTATTTCAGAGTTCAATGTTGGGCAGAGGTTTATCTGACCCTAGATCGTGATTACATTAGCATTTCTCTCAGTATTCAGCCACAAGTTGCTTTCTCTGCCACAACTGTAAGAACACATTGTTTAATGGATTTCATGTTGGGATTTGCTTCTGTTGCTCTATGTGCCTAAAATGTCAGTAATCTCTGCCTGAACAAACCCAGTCCTGCTCCCTATAAGCCCTAGTATAGCAAGGATGAGGAAAGGTTTTAGTAGTTTTCATCTTCTTCTCTTACTCTCTCTGCAGTCTCTGCAGTTCTGTGGTGCTAAGTTTTGCCTGGATTGTGCTTTCTGCGTGCTGCAAATGACCATGTTTGTTGCACTCCTAAGTTTTTGCTCTCAGAAGTCTGGCTCGTTGCTGAGAGAAATGGCGATGAGAGGCCAGGGAGAGTTTGAAAGCAAGCGAGAGAAGGCTTAATTGGATCTGGCCTGGTTACAGCTTAGATGAAGGGGTACTAGGAGGCCAGAGCTGGCAGATATGGGGTTTACAATAAAAGAGTCAGTAGACAAACCTCCAGTCTTTGTTATAATGCAGCCGTGTTTTAATTCTACCTCATATAATTCTTTAATCCTACACACAATGCAACATATACAGCTTCCTGCTGTTAGCACTGGGGAAGATTACATTGTTTGTTCTGTATTGTCTTGGCACTAAAATGCATGTAGTCTTTCACCCTTTAAAAACTGGTATAACTGTATACTCTTTCTTGGGCTACTAGAAACAATCTCTACTTTTCAGAGTGGCACTATTTGTGGTGTTAGTTAACCAATAAGAGGCATTATCCTCAGTACAGGCCAATCCGATCACTTGGTAACTAATGTGGAAACTATGCAGTTTGAGAGAGAGAGAGAGGGAGAGAGAGAGAGGGTGATGGATTCATTTGCCATAAATGGATATTTGTTCTGAGGGGGGGAACTGTTTGAAGAAGGAGCTTAACGGTCTGTCACACTCTCCTCACCTTTGCTTCAGTGTGGGTCCAGTCCAACTGTGTGTTTTCTTTGCGACACACTCCTTTTTGTGTTGAGATAACAAACTTTAGAGTGTTGTGCTGCCTTTGTGTAGGTGAAGAACACAATCCTTCAGTGTGCTCTTATATCCATAACTGGAACGGGGTTTGCATCTTCTCAAGTAAACAATACTCCTCAGTTTGCAAGGCAGATAGAAAAATGTAGCATTTCTGTGGAACAAAATGAAATTGTGCACAGTAACATTAGCGTTGTATCTCTCATCTGTTTTTCCAAACATAAGAGAATGTCGTACCATGGTTACTACAAGAGGAAAAAAGTACATGTGTTCTTTTTTACAGTCACAAGCATAGAGTGCAGAGAGAGGGCAGTTTGAGTTTGCACATTGTTAAAACGCTTCTGAAAGTTTCAGGATCAAACAATTGTGAAGTTCAAATAATTACTTAAACAGTACAATATGTATCTCTGTGTTTTCCCATAGTATAAGGAAATCTCATGCACTTATGGTGTAATCTAATATCAAAGATGACACTGTAAAATTGTATCTTTTATATGGCAGAATTCCAAAATGAATTCTTACACGTAATTAAAGCAAGGGTTGGTAATCTGGGAAAAGTTAGCGAGAGCAGGTTTCACTTGCAATGCAACTGATACATCCTACCTCCTCCCATCAGCCCTGGCGTCAAAGCTACACCCTCATAACCTATGAACGCACACTGATTGACAACTGCTAGATGTCTGTGGAGATTCTCAGTTCTCAATTTAAATACCTGGGACTACCAGCAGTCATTGAAATCTCTTCAAAAAACTCCAACAAGTCCAGTTGACCTGTTTTTTAGCACTTGGAGACAAGCTGACTTTTCTGTGATTCGCTCGCTAACTTCGTTATCATCTTCGATTGTCACTGCTTCAGCAGCTGATTACTCCAGTCATGTGCAGTGAGAGCAGGGGCACATACACTTGTTTTTTTTTCAGACAACTTTATTTATTGATGGCTATCAGGATTTGAAGAGGATTTAAACACAAATAAATTAATTGTTTTCAGAAACAACTTACATCCAAGTAATCAGCCAAGTAAAAAATCGCACAAAAATGATGAAGAAGAATTGTCCGGTGATACATCTTCACCATTTCTTGGATTCTTCTATAATATCCATATTGATTGGAGAACTATGATGAACCCACTTGTCTTGTGTGTGATGGGACCAGTGGTGTCTTGAAAGTAGCAGAAAGTGTGGATCAAGGATTGCACTGCAAGGCTATTTTGATTGGTTCTAAATCGAGCACTTTAATGATTCATGTACATACAATTTAAGATGGAATGAGTCATGTGCACAGTCGATGGATAACTCATGGTGCAGTTGTCATTTTCTAGCAGTGATCTCTTCTTCTCTGTGTCCCGTCCATCTCAGGGTGTGTCAAGCTAACAGCCACCACCCACATGCGGTTTCAGCTGCTAAATAAACTCAAAACAAATCTGTGTATGTCTAGTGATTGGCTCATTATGGAGGCATGGTGCTGTTAAGGAAGTGAGACTGATCGAGGTGCGGCGTGTTTGTCAGAAACAACCTGAATTCCCTGTGAGGTTTTTTTTACACAGTTGCAGTTTCCAGATAAAGTTGTGTTTTTGTTTTCCTGCTTATCCTGTTTGCACAGGCCTGCCTTACCTGTGAAGTGTTCCCTGGCTTCTGCATAACCTGTGGTTCATCCTGTGCTATGTCATGCAGAGACCACACCCACCTCAGGATTCACACTGGTGCAGTATCCCATGAGCCCTTGTGTGTAATCACAATCAACACAAGCCTGGGTCACATGTCTTTTTGTTTATCAGTTACATTTGATCCCATTTGATGCTGTTTAATGCAGATATCTGAGCCTAATACAGGAGGCACAACTCTAACTTAAACTTAATTGACCATGCCAACAGCAGAGATGGTAGATTTAACAATCCCATCACAAACCCTGGAATGCTAGTCATGCAAATAAAGAAATAAAGCCCGTTAAACAAAAAGGGAGCATCTCTGAAGCCCCTTTTCCACTGGTCAAAAAACCCACTAACACGCACTAACATCTGGCTTTCGTCTGCAATGGGAATGGATACAATCTGCATTTACTTCCTGGTTATGTGACTCTGCAGCAGACTGTTTCTATCTGCTCCGCCTCCGAAACATGACACCTGGGTGAACAAGCTAATTTGTCAAGACAGCGGTGTGAGAGAACTTCTCAGTTTTCAGTACGTTGAAAGCTTCTGTGTTATAGTAAACATGTTTTAGTGGAGGATCTCCTGCTGCGTTGGTCATGTGTGAAAGGCAACCTCTGGAAAAGGTCTGGACTCAATTCTCTGGACATCCTCCAGTCTTAAAACAGCTATATATTTGATGGATATGTTCACTCAAACACATTCCTGTGGAACACAGTAGCCCCCATTGGGAATCAGCGTTGGCAGATTTAGTACCATATTTGACTCACAATGCTACAGGGCCACAAAACAGCCGTAAACAAACAAATTAGCATTTCTGTCCCCATCTCATGCCTCTTTTTTCCCACCCCTCTACCTCTTGGAGCCTAGCTAGGCTCCTGTCAGTAAACATTCATCATGTCACCTCCTCCCACCATCATTTTCCTCTCTACCTCTGCAGAGGCGAGCCACGGAGCCGAGCTGGTTTAATATCTGAATCGATTCAGGCTGGCAGGACCGGAGCATTGAAGTGATGGCTCAGACAACCTGGTGCCACCTATAATGTTGTTCAGCCAAGTCTGTGCTGTGTGGCCTGAGCACACTAGAGGGGAGACATTCACATTATCAGTACTGATGTACAGTCCACTTATAGAGTATTCAGACTTTTTGCCCTTTTATTGTGTTGCAGATTTAATTTGCAACTACATCAGTGTACATGCAATAACCCATATGACATGCTTTTAGATGCTTGTAAATTAATAAAAAATCAAACACTAAATATTTTATGCACAGTGTAGGACTAACAACAAAGGAAATCTTCATCATGATCCATTTACAGTAGTTTAATTGTAGCACATGCAGAGTTTCATGTGATTAGAGGTGAACTGGTTTGGCAATAAACAGATGATTTGATCAATTTAAAAATATTTAAAATCCCAGCCCATGCCGAAGTTTTCCTGGGCAAGATGCTGAACCCCAAAAATGGCCCCTTATAGTTATACAATTATAAATTGTAATTGTATGTGACTTTGGATTAAAGCGTCAGCTAAATGACGTGTAATGATATGATAGAAGAATTGTTTCAGTCATATTTCAAACAAAAACTGTGAAACAATACTAAGTGTCCTGATTCCTGCTATCAGATGAGAGGACCTCCTGCTTTTCTCTGGCAAACAATATAAATGAAAACAAATAGTTTTTGGTAGA